CGCCCCAGCAGGGCACCCCGCCAGCCGCATGGAGGCCCCCGTCCCTCGCGCAGGCCCGGATGTCCTGGCGCCGTTCGGGCAGGACCTCTCCGCTCTCCTCGCCCAGCTGCGCAGGTTCCAGACGCTCAGTCACGCCCGCAGAGGCGGTGGCTGGGCGCGTCGGAGGCGCGACCGCAAGCCCAGCAAGCAGGCGAGGCGGCCAGCTCGACGTCGAACTTCGAGGGGGGAGGAATAGGAGGAGGAGGAGGAGGAGGAGGAGGAGGAGGAGGAGGAGGAGAGGAGAGCGAACACGTCCACTAGGAGGAGGAGGCGAGGAGGAGGAGGAGGAGGAGGAGGAGGAGGAGAGGGAGGAGGAGGTGAGAGGAGGATGAGAGAGGAGGAGGAGGGGAGGAGGAGGAGGATAGGAGGGGGAGAAGGGAGGGGAAGGAGGGGAGGAGGAGGAGGAGGAGGAGGAGAAGGAAGGAGGGAGAGGAGGGAAGGAGGAGGGAGTAGGAGGGAGGGGAGGGGAAGGAGAGGGGAGAGGAGGAGAGGTAGGATAGGAGGAAGGAGGAGGAGGAAGGAAGAGGAGGAGGAGGAGGGGGGAGGAGGGGAGGAGGAGGAGAAGGAGTGAGGAAGGAGGAGGAGGAGGAGGAGGAGGAGGAGGAGGAGGAGGAGGAGGAGGAGGAGGAGGAGGAGGAGGAGGACCTTGACCTTGCTCTGGCGGGCACCTCCCTGATGGACGGTGACCCACTGGCACGGTCGGGCTCTCTCGGGAAGGACAACCCGCTCTTCGGCGGCAGCCCGCGAGAGAGACGCGACTGCGCGCTCGGCCCCGCCTTGGTCGGGGCCCGCACGCTCTGCAAAGCGACACCTTTCGCACAGTCGAGGGCGCGGGGGAAACGGGCCCCGGAGAACGCCCGATGTGGGCGAGCCGCTCCAGGGCCCGCTCGCAACGGAGGCGCCCCACAACAGCACACCCCGTGCTGAATTCGACGAGATTGCCACGGGAAGCCCGAAACGCTCGCCTCCAAAGCTGGCGCCGACGCGCCCTTTTCACCGGCGCAGGCGCACGGCCCGCGGCACGCCCCCCTTGGCAGACGGACCGCGTCGGCTGGGAGGGCCTCGGGGCGAGGCGGCTGCCTGTCTGCCTACTCGGTCGGCTCTGCCGCGAGAGCGCGCGAGCGCCGCGACCTCCTCTCTCGCCGCGGCCACTCCACCGACAAGAACCGGCCTCGCTGAGGCCCCCGGCAGCACGCACGGGCGAGGTGGCATGGGCCTTCGCCCAGGTCAGCTCGGCTTTCCCCGATAGGTCGTCGAGGCGATCCCAGATCAAGGCCCGCAGGTCCGTCGCGTGGACGGGCCCGCCGCGATCAGTGCTCTGGGCCGCCTGGGGGCCCGCGCATGGAAGGTAGCGCGAGCGCGCCGCCACGTCGCCGACGCTGCGGGCCAGCAGCATCAGCACAGCGAAGAGATGAGCCCTCGGACTACTCTGCTGCGGGTTGGGCAGAGCGCCACGCAATGCTCAATCAAAACGAAAACCACCAGAAACACCATCCCCATCAAGTCCGCAGGCCAACCAACCGCGCCCTCAGTGGCGCCAGTCTCGTGCATTTTGCCCCACCAGAGCCGCCCAAGCCTCGCGGGCCTCCGTCCAAGACTTGCCCGCGCCCAGAACGCCCCCATCCGCGCCCAGAACGCCCCGTCCGAACGTCGGAGAGACAGGCAGCAGGGTGCGATCAACGGCGGCAGCCGTGGTAGTCAAGCCCCGAGCCCAGGAAGCACTGTCTGGACAAGCAGCTTCGGCCCCAAGAGCGACTGGGCACAACTGCTGGGAATTATGCGCAAGGTTCGCGCCAATGTCCGCGGCGCAACTGCAAGATCGCGCCCGACGCATCATACTTTCTCGCGCTGCCCCGCAGCGCCCGCATATGCCAATAGAAAAGATAGCCAGCGGGCCGTAGCCGAGCTTCTGGCCAGCACCCTGCAGAGACGACGCAGCAAAGCAAGGCTGCATCTTGGTGGCCCCTTTTTCAAAAACAAGCTGGGGATGGACGCGACGGAACACAGTGAAATCTACGCCCTTTTCTGAAGCCCAACTCCACTATGACGATTCGCAGCTCCGCCCCGGACTTGCCCCGAACCCGTCTCCTGAACGCGCCCCTCCAGAAGGAACAGGAAACCAAGAGAACCAGCATTCAAGATCCGAGTCGGGACAACACACCTAGCGGGCGAATCAGGAGCCCATCCTAAATCGAGCAGGGTGGTAATGACAGCGACAATGGGGCTCGTCCAGGCCCTCCATCTGCAGTTCGCAGGCACAGAACGCAGTTGACAGCGCATGCAGCCACAAGCATTCGCAGCACCTCGACGCAAACCGAAACAGCACGCCGCGCACTCGCCGGTGCCCGCAACTGCTCGCGATGCAACTGGCACGCAGGGTCACTTGTCAACTGCCGCCGAATGGCGAGCACAGTGGCCGCGCAACATCGCGGGGGGGCAAAATCCTGAGCACTTAGCAGAGGCTCTGAAGGCACGAACCTCGGCCGGTGGGGGGGGGCCATCGCGCCGCCATGCTCCTCCTATAATCCGATAGCCCTTATAACGGCGACGATGGAACACAGTGCCGGGGAACTGCTTTGAACATCACCAGTCGTTCAAAGCAGTGCCCCGGCACTGCTTTGAACGATGCGGAAATGCGATCAGCAGGAGCCTTCGTCTGTTCCTTCTCCTCTTCTCGTCGCTGTATGCTCTTCCTTGTCCTCCCTCCTCCCCCGTTCCCTCTCTAATTAATTACCTCGTTCTCCCAGTCTCACGCGCACTCTTCCTCCCCCCTCTCCTCCTCCTCTTCCTGCTTCTCCTCCTCGTCCTCCTCCTCCTCCGCCTCCTCCCCCTCATTTGTTATATTCTCCGTCCTTGTCCTCCTGTCCCCGTTCTCCTTCTCCCTCTCCTCCTCCTCCTCCTCCTCGTCGTCGTCGTCCTCCTCCTCTTCCTCCTCCTCCTCCTCCTCCTCCTCTTCCTCCTCCTCCTCCTCCTCCTCCTCACCTTCTTCCTCCTCCTCCTCCTCCCCCTTTTCCTCTCCCTCCTCCTCCTCCTTCTCCTCCTCCCCCTTCCCCCTCTTCCTCCTCTGCTATCACTCCTCCATAATTCCTGTCCGCTCCTCCCCTTCACTGATCTTCCTCTTCGTCATCATCATCCCTTTCGTCGCACGCCTCTTAATCTTCAATCGGTTCCCAATCTTCTCGACTTTCTTGTCATCCGCGTCCTTGGCTGTTGGAGGGGCCTCAGGAATTCTCAGGGCTCTTGTGTTGCACGCGAAGGCACACCTCCCAGGAACGCATCATCCTCCTCACATTCACCCTCCTCCTCCTCATCATCCTCCTCCATGCACGTTCGGCTCAAGCCCGCGCCG